GATGAGGACTTGACCTAGCCTGGTTGCTTTGTGATGCCAGAATGTTGTAGAGATAGTATCCGTAAGACTTGGGAACTGATTGGGTATGGGGAGATGAGGGAGAGAAGTGAGAACAAATCTGAGATCACAGATTTAGAAATTATGGCTGCCTTTCAAAAACACTTCATTTATACCTATGTTTTCTAAATGCAGGTATTCCCTCCAATAGGACATATCCCACCACCCTGCTTTTCTTTAGCCAAAATTTGCTGTCAATCTGGAAAAATCATTCCTAAGCGTGTTTTATCACACGTAAAACTCTTAGTACTAAGTCTTATTTTATTCGACATGCATTTATTAACCTTCTGCCGTGAACCCAGAATTAAGCTCGGGGCTGAGGAGAGATACAAAGACAAAAGAGAGCAGCCCTTGACCTGGAAGAGCTTCTATTCGGTGATGGCAGAGGGGCAACAACACATGCATATATACATTAATACAAAATGTGTACCAAGGTCCTCGTGGGATCAAGGACATGAGTAGAAAAGTTTTCCTTATCTTTGGAGGTTAAAGCAAAGGCTTTGAGAGGATGAGGAACCATACTGACAGGATTTGCATTCTACTGCAATCAATAAAGACCTCTGAAATAGACAGCACATTTAATGCACAAGAGATTGAAGGGAAATTGCTTGGTTTTTCAAAAGTGCCCTATAGAATGGCGTTTATTTTTTGCCATGAAGAGCCTATAATAGCCCTGTCGATTAAAAAAGTGTATATATACTATACTGTGAATCTTTCATAATAAAATCTTTTTTCTAATTGTAGTGATTAAAAACTAATGAAATTTAAAAGTCTCAAGTCCTCCTATCTTGAGGCATACATGTATGTGTATACACATTTATATATGAAGCTACCTAAGTTATTTCACCCCCCCCCCAAAAAAAGCCACCCCAAACTACCTTAAAAAAAAGTTTTTTAAATGATTATAATTTTTGGAGGAAGCACTATAAATGTAATTTTTCCTGCATGTAGTAGTTTAATGTCTGATTTTAAAGCTAGAAAAGGTCTAAATAAAATTCACTGTTAACCCTACAAATTCTTAATTTTCTTCACTTTGTTTTCATTTATGATTCACTCCTCATACTACCTGATGGGGGATTATTGGGAGGATTTGAAATTCTAATCAGAAGCGATATTACAGATCTTCTTGGTTGATTCTTCTTCCTGGTGTCTTTAGTGGGTAAGAAGAGGGTGTAGGTATGCCATGTGGCTATTTCTTGTTATCAGACCCCTTGATAAGTATTTCAAGGTTTTATTTTAATGATTGGTTAAAATTCTGCTTCTTTGAGAAGGTGTAGTGGCTTCCTGATTAAAACATTTTTGATAAGCTTTGTGTATGAATATGTATGAATCTAATTCTAGTGAATTCTTGAGTACAGGAAAAATGATACCTTCCCTATTACTGTGGTGAGCAACGCCAGCCCCTCAGTCCCTCAGGCTCAAAACCTACGAGTCAGTCTGGATTCCACCAATCTGTTTCCAAGGCCTATCTGTTTTCCCTTTGTGTCACCTCTCCTGTATGCCCGCTTGTCCCTGCAGACCCTCATCACCGAACACCCTGACTATTGCAATAGCTTGGAGGTGAGTCTGCCTGCCTCAAGTCTCTCCCCACTCTGATCAGCCTCCATTTAGCCACCAAAATGATCTTCCTAAAGCATAAGTCTGATCCTGTCATATACACCCCACCCTCCTATACACACTCGATTAATTCCCGTGGCTTCCTGTTGCCTCCAGGCTCAAATACCAAATGCTCTGTTTGTCACTCAAAGAGCTCTATAACCTAGTGCCCCTTGTACCTTTCCAGGCTTCTTAACACCTTCCTGCCTACCACATCTTTGATCCAGTGTCCTCCTGGCTCTTCTGTGTACAAGACACTCTTGGCTCCAGGCATTTTCTTTGACTGTCCCCCATGTGTGGAATGCACTCCCTCCTCATCTCTCCTACTGACTTCCTTTATGTCCCAACTAAAATCCCACCTTTTTAAAAAAATTTTAATTAATTTATTTTGAATTATCAACAATCACTTCCATAAGCTTTTGAGTTTTAAATTTTTCTCCCCCTCCCTCCCCACCTCCTTTCCCAAGACGGTGTGCAATCTGATACAGGCTAAACATATATATTCCTGTTAAACATATTTTCACATTAGTGATGTTGTAGGTGAGAATTAGAACCAATAGGAGGAAGCACCAGAAAGAGAAAACAAAACTCAACAGAAGAGACAAAAAAATAGCAAAAAGCATGCTTTGATCTACATTCAGACTCCATAGTTCTTTCTTTGGATGTGGATAGCATTTTTCATCATGAAAAATCCCACCTTTTACAGGAATCTTTTCCTAACCCTTCTTAATTTTAGTGCCTTGCCTCTATTAATTATTTCCTAAATAGCCAGTATATAACTTGCTTTGTAAGTGTCTTTTGCATATTGACTCTCCTATTAGTCTGTGACCTACTTGTGGGCAGGGCAGTCTTTTCCCACTTCACAAAACTACAGTGAATTCATTTTGTGACTATTCTGTGTATGCTTATTTCTGTTTGTATTGCCTCCCGGTTAGAATGTGAGTTTCTTGAGGGTAGATACTACTTCGCTTTTGTCTTTGTATCTCACCCCGATCCCTCTTAGCACCGTGCCTGGTACACATTGGAACCTAGTAGTGCTTATTGAGTGATTGTCTCCATCACCTCTTTGCTGAGATAGGAAGGAAATAAACCTGCATTTATTAAGTGCCTATTATGAGCCAGGCACCATGGTAAAGCATAAATGGGTAGAGAACTGCCCAAGTGAAAAGACAAAATTGGACCAATCCTTAATGAAGTTTGTGAAAATCAAGACTTATCGAGTTTATGGACAGTTAATTTAAAATGAGTCATAATTTTTTACCCAAGAAAGATATTTTTGATTTTTCAAAAGTCAAATTGTTTTTTTTAAGCCCTGAATCAAGGGTTTGCTGGTTTTGGCTTTTGTATTTGGGCAGGTCCCACACAGCCTGCATTACTCACTGTAGTGCAGAATTCAGAATGAGGAGCTTCCATTGTACCCCCTGCTCTGGGGAGGTGGGTGTATTTCTCAAATTGAGCCAGGTGTAGAATTGACTCTTCCTTAGAGTTTGAATTGGGGACAGTTACATGGTACTTCACCAAGTGTAGCAGTGCTTTTTTTCTCAATTAATTAATTTGTTTTTAGTTTTCAACATTAGCTTCCATAAGCTTTTGGGTTAAATTTTCTCTCCCACCCTCCTTCGCCTCCCCTCTCCACCACATGGCATGCGATCTGATATAGGCTCTACATATACATTCGTATTAAATGTATTTTCACATTGGTCATCTTGTGAAGAAGAATTAGAACCAATGGGAGGAATCACAAGAAAGAAGAAACAAAACAACAGCAACAAAAAGAGCAAACAGTATGCTTTGATCTGCTTTCAGACTCCATGGTTCTTTCTCTGGATGTGGGTAGCATTTTCCCTCATGAGTCTTTTGGAGTTGTCTTAGATCCTTGCATTGCTGAGAAGAGCCAAGTCTATCAATGTTAGTCATCGAACAACATGACTGTTACTGTGTACAGTGTTCTCCTGGTGCTGCTCACTTCACTCAGCATCAGACCATACAAGTCTTTCCAGGTTTCTCTGAAGGCCACCTGCTCATCATTTCTTATAGCACATTAGTATTCCATTACATTCATATACCACAACTTGTTCAGCCATGAGC